TTTTTTTTTTATTAAAAATAAGTTTGTCAATACTTGTTCTGCAGCTGATGGAAATCTATCAAGAATAGCTTGGGCAGCCTTATTATTTCTTACGGTGAGGGCAGTAGCAAACGGACTTGATCCTTTTCTATCTCTCAAACTTAGATCAATATTTGGTACACACAAGAGCAAATTAATAATCGCCGCATGTTGATTTTCTATTGCTATGTGCAATGGGGTTTTACCGTCTACGTCGCGACTGTCTATGTTTGCTCCATGCTCAATTAATGCCTGCAACATAGTATAATATGAGCACTACTTATCCCGAAATAACAACGACCCTATTAAACAACACCTGAATAACTGTCTGCAATCCCCACTGACAACACATATGTAAGGGTGACGCTTTCTCCTTCGCTATTTCCGCTCCTGCTCCATTGGGTCCTGGGAGCTGAGGGGAATCTAAATCGCAACCTGATTGTATCAGGAAAATAGCAATCGATTCTCTATTTTCTTCGATAGCCCTGCGAAAAGTAAAAAGAAAAACTTTATGTGCTTAATTTTACAAGTTCTACATTTTACTTGTGCAAAAGGGTTTGTCGACACCCTTCGGGCCCTGGACCCCAACAATCTGTATCCGCCCCATGTCTGACCAAGATACTGGCTATATTTTCTTGATTGGAATCTAACGCCACCCACAATGGACAATTCCCTGTTCTATCGGGGGCTGACATATCCACGCCCTCTGAACATAACGCATCAACAACTTCTGGAAGTCGACAGTGTATTGCCAGTTGTAAAGGTGTTTCGCCGTCTGAAGTTCTATAAAAGTGTGTTTAATTGATAAGAATTAAATTTATTCAGTCGTAAAAGATGTTGATTTATTTGTGCACGTTACTAATTAAGACATACATTGCATTAACGTCTGCGCCGTGTTCTAGTAAGAAGAGCGCAGTGTCAGAATCTTCATTTAAGATCGCCTGATGAAGCAGGGTCAAATCTCTGGAATTTCTAATGTTAATGTCACCCTTTCCTTCCATTAATAAAGGTAGTAAATCCTTACGGTTTTCATTTAAGGATAGACTTAAAGGTGTATCGCCATTGATATCTTTTAAATTAAAATTTATCATCACTTCCTTATTACCTGCTATTAAAGTTTCGTTGGTTTTTATGAAGCATTTAATGCAGTCTGCCGAATTTCCAAGAACAGCATAGTGGAGTGGAGACCGCATTAAATCGTTTGTTAGCAAATTTGCGTTCATTCCGCAAGAGAGAAGTGAATTTACTAATAAGGGACAATTTTTCAAGCATGCCGTGTGAATAACGGACTCTCCGTTTTCATTAACATGATCGAGATTGTTATCATAATTCGATAAAAATATCTGTAAATGTAATTGTACAGTACACAACACACGTTCAGTAAGTAAATAGAAATTTAATTTACCGCAGCATCTTCAGCTCCTTCCATAATTAGTGTTTGTAACAAGCTATTACCATTTTTTAAATAAATTGGATTAGTTTTAGCTCCCTTTTTAATTAATCTCGAAGCATAACTTTCTGGACTTCGATCGCCCGATTGGTATTTTACAAGGGCGTAATACAAAGGGGTGTGTTCGTCATTTGATTTTAAATTTATATCAACAAGTGGTTGTTCTAGCAACAACGAAAAAACTGGATCGTTGTTGGACATAATAGCGACGTGAAGAGCCGTTCTAAAAATATATGTAGTTTCGTATGTTTGCAAAATATTAAATTAAATGTGGGTATTACATACAATCCCTGTTTGTTTTGGGCGTTAATGTTTACATCCTTTTCCAAAAGTTTGTTAACGATTGTACAAGAGTCTTTTATACTTCCTCCAGCTATTAAATGAAGAGGGGTGTCGTTGGAATTCCTAAAATAACAAAATAGGTATATAATAATCAATTCCCATTCGATCACAACTACTTGCAAATAGTTAATAGCAACATAAAACTTACATAGTGCAGAGCGATACGTCGCATTGTTTATTTTGAAGAATAAATAAAACAGATGATGGATCTTCCCGTTTTATGGTTCTATGCAGTAAAGTATCTCCTTCAGAGTCCAATAAATTAATATCGGCATTATATTGAAGTAAAGTGGATGCAATATTAAAATTGTGAGCTCTGAGGGCCAAATCTAAAGGCAGCTCACCGTTTGGGTCCCATGTATTTATGGAATTATTTAACTAAAAATGTAAAAATAAATTAAGTACATAGAATAAAAATTAAGGATGTAACTTTAGAAGTGTGTGATAAGAACAAAGAATTCATTTTTAACTACTTAATAAATAATATGATTTTTTTTTCTTTTTTAATAATTAATATTTTTTTTTTCTATTTCCCTCTGATTAACGATAATCCCTGTTGAGTCAGTTTTGCTTATGTCATGTGTTTTACGTGGCTAGTTTATTAAGTAGTGTTATTGCAAATAAAGCTACTTATTGCTAAGTAGGTAAGTGCGGTGCGGTGACCGCAGTTCGGTCAAATACTTTCAATTAAGTGCGCATTTTAAGAATTTAATAAGCCACAACACAATAGTCAGATAACAACCGTTTATTTACGACATTAGTCTAAGTAAGTAATAAGCTGTAAATACATTAATGTTTATTTCAAGTTTACTTCTTTTTACATAAGCAACTTTTTGGAATTGTTTGTTATATGTCTTTTAATAAGCAAAAAACTGTCTTCCTGTTAAAACACATGGCAACTGGGGAAAGAACAAAACTTCGTTCTTATTTATAAGTATTAAGGATGATGAAAATAATAAATAATAATGAAACGAGTACGACGTTGTTTTGTGCAAAGAAATGCGGTGAAATAAAAGATAACGATTAATTACTGCATATCAAATCGTGGCTTGTAACAAGTGATAAAAATTGAGATTTACTAACGAATTCTCAACTAATACATCGTGCTAGTGACTCATATTAACGTTGTGTATAATAAGAGAGCTCATTTTATGTTAAATAAAATGAACTCTTTAAATTTATTATCATCTGCAGCTGTGATTACATTTGTGATATTTACAAGTAAGTACCGGTATAAACAAATACACATTTTAATTTAAATATTACTGTGCGAGTAAATTTCTTTTAATTCCTGTTTCAATAAAATCGAATGAAATCGATGTTTACCCCTTATAAATAATTATTATACGCGTGTATATAGTTTAGTTACATTAATTTAGCGAAAAATTGTTTTACGTATGACAATAAACTTTGTAGGTGGAAAGTTCAGCAATAAACGTAATATACACACATATTATAGATGTATTTGTTGTAAATATTTAACGTGTGTTGTTTAAAGCGAGATCAAACGACTACACTACCTTGAAACAGTTACCATTATTTTTTTACGTAACATAAATTTACATACCAGTAAATGTATGATACTTTAAAATAAATTAGATTCGATAGTAACAGGCATAAAAGAAACATTTACATTTAGAAATGTGCACAAAGAATTTAAAAAATTTCTAATAATAATCTACACCAGCAAAAAATATTTGCCACATCGATTTTAAAAGTTTGTTTGATCTTCTGCCTACTCATCATAAAACTTTCGCAATTTAATTTAAAGGAAAAAAACTCTTTCAAGCACTTTTTTGTATATATATATACCTATTTAACAGCGAAAATTACTATCACAATGTTTGAAGTGTTTATCTACCCTTTGCTTCCTGACCATTAATTATCGTATTCACACAAAAAACAAAGGCCAACGCTCTAATACACATATTTTAGACCTTACTAAGTAAGCCTAAATAGCTGCGCATAATCTATTTTTAAAAGTTTAAAGTTTTAGGTAATAGTTTAATTAACGACTTACAATTAATAAATATTTATTTTACAGGTATTATCGAAACTTCTGAAGCAATAAAATGTTACAAGTGCACAATTCTGCCTCCCCCAATTTATAGCAACGAAACTTCTCGCTTGTGCGCTTTTTTTGATTATACCGATAAATATATAGTTGATTGTCCATATTCGACTTTTTGTATAAAAAGAATATTTACAGTTTATCTATCTGGTAATCAAATTTTACATTTCTATAATATAATAATAGATTAATCCATTATTCGCTTTTTTTAAAGATGCGATAAACGGTACCCTTAGAGGTTGTGCCCCTCAAAGAAACGATTATCAGGTATACAAAAATAATAAATGGCAAATGCAAGTTAATGTTGAAGAACCATATGAAGAAGGTAATAGAACGAGTTAGTTAATAATAACCAAATTCCAGTTATTAAAACAATTTTTAGGATGTACAAATGTTGATGATAAAGGTCAAAGGATATCAAAACCTACTCACTGTTATTGCAGAGGTGACCTATGTAATGGCAATGCATCATTTACAAATATTAACTTTGCATTAAATTCTATATTAACTGTGATTATTTGTTTGTTGTCTTTGTAAATTAATATGATATGTATGTTTAAAGTCTACTTAGTAATATTGTATTTTAATGTTATAATGACAAATTAATTATGCATGACAATTAAATATAATGATAGATCTGAAGAAAAATGTTATGCAAATGTTATTAATAATATAAACATCACAATAACTCAACTCACCTTGGTAGAATTATCAACCAAATAAAGAAAGACAACATCTTCACGTAGTAGTCTAACTGCAGAATGTAGTGGAAATTGTGTTTTGCTCTTCAACATTTCATACAGCAAGGGTCCAGACATATGCTCAAAATCTATCGATTTAAGATCATTCCAATATATAGAAATGGCCTCTGAACAGTATTCCTTCAATTTAACAGCACCAACTTGTTCAGCAACAGAATACAATTTCACACAGTTCTCAACACTAACATTAGTTATAAGGTCTCTTTCACACCGTTTTAATAAACCATGCAGTTTATATTCACAAGCTTTCTGAATTACTTTTATAGTAACATCATCACTTTTTAGCTGAATTTTATCTTTATATATCCAAAAAAGAATTGCCTCAGAAACTTCATCTTCTATGTTTGACCAATCAAGAATATCAATCGGACCCAAAACGTCCTCGTTCCAAAAGTCTGATCTTGCATTTAAAACTAATTTATGGCCAGGAATGATCCGACTCGCCAGTTTTATCTTTAAATCACTGTAAGTCTTTGAATTATACAAATTATCAATGTATTCCAAGAACTGGTCTGCAGATGTATCCTTTGAAAAGTTTCCAGTTGCTGCAGAGAGATTACCATACTTTTTCTCCAAATCATCATACCGTTCCTGCAGTTTAGTATACTCTTGTTTCAAAAGAGCTAAATGATTCATTAATTTTGTAGTTTCCACATGAGCTGAAACCTAAATGTCTGTATAAAGGTTCTTTACGCGTTGTAATTATTATTTACCCATTATATTCCCTTTTAGTGTTCTCTTTTTCACATTTCTACATTTATTTCTCACAAGGTTGCAGGCGTTCCAGATTCTAACCTACTATCAGGCCATAGATACATCCATAGAATCATCCATAGATAATAGAATCATCGACATCATAGAATACATCATTACATCAGGCCATAGATTAAAGAAATATACAATGTCAATCAGGACCATAGAACAGGTCCACTATCATAGATACGCGAAATAAAAATGGTGTGGTGGCTAAAGTAGCGCTCCACCCTAATTAAACTATTTTATTTTTATAATTCAACATATTCAGCAGTTGTTCGGGTTATGTTCGGGATGTTCTGGCTTTTAATCGTTTAGACACGGGGGCATGGGGTGTTATTAATGTTAACGTAACTAGTACGTGTAATATCGAAAAATTTTTGAAATGGCTTTGAATTGGAGACTTGTTGCTAGATTACCTCAAAATTTTAGGTAAACATGTAACCTGGTGTGTCTGTACTGTCTGTATAATGTTATATATACTACAATATTTTTGTACTGTTTATATAATTTTTATGACTGTCAAGAACATTCTATAAATACGCTGTTTGTGTTTCACATTAGGTTACACTAATTTAGCATCTTATTATGCAGGTCTTTATCAGTAACTGCACCGAAAAGCGAATCATCAGGAAGGGAATCATGGCTTTCCAAACTTTTTGTGCGAACTATAGAACCAACAAAAGAATCACACAGCAGAATGTTAAGTGATAAAGAAATTATTTATGCTTTGCAAACACACAACTTTAGGCCCAATAAAAGGGAAGAATATTTAGAAAATTAGTAAGTGATTTTTTTGTTTATCTTATTTTATAAACATAGAATAATGTTTTAGTAAGAAGCATGTTGATTATTTTAATTCCCATGAAAAAATTACAAAAGTTTTACAATTAGTTTCTTCATGGACTGTGAACGTTGGTGATCAGGATCAAGCATTACATTTATGGAAGTATACAGGCGGTTTTCACGCAATAGATAGTGTAATGGATGTGCTTAATCAAAGTAAAGTAAGTACAAATAAACAGTAGTGTGATATCACTATCATTTATTATTGCAAAATTATGTTGTAGGAATATCAGAAATTATTTAGTGAACAGGCTCAATATATTAGGTCCCGACATTTACAGTACATTCTACAATTCAGTTATTGGCCAGAAATAAGGTTTCGTTCTCCTAAGCATATTTATGAAATTAGATCATACACTCTAAAACCTGGAACAATGATAGAATGGGGTAATAATTGGGCCCGTGCAATAAATTACAGACAGAATAATAATGAAGCTTTTGCTGGATTCTTTTCCCAAGTAGGAAGACTTTACAATGTCCATCATATTTGGTGTAAGTAAAATTTTCAAGTAATGTATTTTGTCTCAGCAGAATTGTTGAAAGAAATTTTTCCACAGGCTATAAAGATTTGAACTCTAGAAAAGAAACAAGAGAAAGTGCATGGAGAAGTCCTGGTTGGGATGAATGCGTAGCCTATACTGTGCCATTGATAAAAGAGATGCACTGTCGCATTCTTATTCCATCATCCTTTTCTCCTACTCAGTGAAATATGTAATGGTCACTAATAAGTCTATTTGTAGTTATTTTATTTTTTTAGCAATTTTACAGTAATTTTTAATTTAAGATTCAATTAGATAATTTGTATTTAAATCAGATTCCTTTATCTTTATTATTTTATNAACTATTAAAACAATAACAGTCAGATTGCAACTATGAAAAACAATGAAGCACCTTTAATATATTATATGTATATCTTTCCAGACAGGAAAAACAAACAAATATGAATGATAAACATTGTATACAGGTGTGTAAATAAATTCATTTTTTTGGTTATGCTTAAAAGGGAAGTTATTTCTAAAGGAGTCATAACACCAGCAAATTTATAACTACCTAGGTACTGGTAATTCCAATGTTTCCAATCTTGTCCAAATTTTAGTTAAATGAGATCGAGGATCTCTTGGCACTACAGGTGGGTAGCTAGGATCATTAGGAACTATTCCATCATATCTGTATAGTTTTGCAGTTCCCTTGACTAAAAATGGATCAACTAGAAGCTTATAATTTCTTGGGGCTTTTGCAGAACAATGGCTTTGAGGTGTTCGGTCCATCACACCATTCATTCTAAAAATGAAAGTCTTTTAAGTAACAGTGGAGTGTATCACATAAGACGAATTTACTTTCGAGCTTGTTCTAACCTTTTATCTTGTAAGTATAAAGATACCAAAAACAAGAAATTTTAAATTGTTTTGTCAATTTTTTTCATGATGATACAACAATTGCCAAACACTTGTATGAAATAATTAACACAATATCTACCTAAAAATAAATATCATTCACTAATTTCCTATGGCTTTTTCTACACAAACAACACTTTTCCAAAAATGTATTTTCGTCGAGATGTCGAAAGAACTATATGGCAAAGAACTTACTCTATACGATCGACTTATAACCAGTAGCCACTTCTAACAAACTTCTAAGTTCTAACCTCTACATAATATTTTATCTATGATATTTTAAGCATAGAACTGCATAGAACCATAGTAAATCATCTTATTCACAGATGTCTCTCGTTTTTCGTCGAATTCATAACCATAGATAAAATAGATGTATTAGAAAAGTCATTAACGTCATTTAAAAAGAATTGTCTTATGCAGGAGCTGTTACGCAAGTAGAAAAAATTAAATTATTTGCTAAAGAAGAGTGATTGTATTTATTTTAATAACGAAAACATGTTCTTTGGAAAAATCCTTTCTCGTCTTTTGCCTGTTATTAAAGCTGACGATGAAGATCTAGTCGATCCTCAACAAGAATTGAGGGTAGGTTTCAATTTTTATTAACTTAGACTGTGTTGGGTAAAATTTTAATTTACTTTCTCATTATTTAAGAATGAGTGTCGAGAATCGCACTGTAAGAACTTCGCTGAAAAATTAGAAGAATGTACTACAAGAGTCACTAGTAAAACCAAGACAACAGAAACTTGCGTTGAAGAATTGATAGATTTGATGCACTGCCTAGATCATTGTGTTACCCCACATCTGTTTTCGAAGCTTAAATAGATGAGTGACTTATTTTTCTGTAGATTTATCCATTAATAATTAAAAATTATAAATAGTGGATGTTGTTGTAAATAAAGATATCTGTAAAAAGAAATGGGTATTAATTAGATTGAATGTTTTGAATGAATTTCATTATAAAATTACCATTAACTTATGGGGCATACTTACAAGTTTATTAGATTATATACTTTTATTACATACTTGATAAAATAAATTGTAAATGCATAGGTATATATTTATAAAGGTATACTAAATTAAGCATGGAAAGTTGTGAGTAAAGTAACACTGTACAGAATAATTACCAGTTTCATGTAATTGTTTTTGGAAATTTACTGTAAACCAGTTTTGAGAACATCAAAACAGACCTTGCATACTCGAACAGGTTTATTTTCTCCAAATTTTATTATCGGTACCTCTTGATTTGAACATTTACTACACAAAATTCTACCGCAATGTCGACAATGATGTTTTCTTATGGTTACTGTGAAATTCTTTCCACACTCCTGACACATATCTGTCTGTGTCCATGGTACTTGCTGAGATAATTGATCTAACAATCTATAAAGTAGTTGTTTGGTAGCCACCTGATAAATTAAATTTATTTAGAAGAGATGTATGTATTAAGAAAGTTACTTATGTCTGACCTGATAATTAAAAATGGTAACCCTTTCGTTATTTTCGGCAGCTAAGCACGCATTTGCCTTTACTAGAATTCGGCACAAATTACCATTCCCTTTCATGTATGCCAATAATAACGGAGTATTGCCCTGTAATGGGTAATAAATAAAGCTGCGTCAGTAACGTCAAGAATTCAAAAATTTGAGAATGACTATAAATAAGTAACATAAGAATTGTCCAATAAAATTAATTAATCTTACTATATACCCTTATACAATTCAAACGTGTGATAAATATATAGTCAAAGGCCAAAATGTACATAAACGCTGTACAGAATGATTGGTTTATCCCTACATTCGCCCAACGCCTTTAAGTCAGCTTTTAAATACATACATAAACTTTCCACAACCTAATTATGTATTTATTTTAATTTTAATAGTAATAATTTCAATTATAGGATAAGGATAGATCAGTCATTTGGCAAAGGGCCTATATTTTGGCCTTTGACAATAGTAAGTACAGTATCGTACATCTAAATCGGGTTTGTTTATAGGGTACTCTGGCATACATTCCAGAAAGAAATCACATATAGCAGCTGCATTTTCCTTTCCACAACGACACAACTCGTGAAGAGGATTACGTCCTTTTATGTTTAAATGTTCAGCATCTATATTTGACTCTGTTAATAGCACTTTGACCTGTAAAATAAAACGATATTGATTTGGTAGAGGCCACATTAAATTACTAATATGAAACATACAACATTCAAATGTCCTTCACGTACAGCAATATGAAGTGCGTTATCACCATCATGATTACAGGCGTCGACATCTATTCCGCTTTGAATCAATCCGGATGCGACTTCTGCATTTCCAGCTTCTGCTGCCACATGAAGTGCTGTATTTCTTAAAATGTATGCAGATTTATATATTAAAAATCAGTGTTTGCAATGTAACTCACTTTTGAGCGTCTCGGTCTTCAATTCGTGCTCCAGCAATTATTAAGCTTCTAACCAGCATTTCATCGCCATATTTTGCCATCAAATGAAGGGGTGTTATTAATGTGGGATCTTGAACGCGCGAGTTTACGTCTACGTGTATAGATAATAAGAACAAAATGCTCTCTTTATCTCCTCGTTTAATAGCAGTATGCAGGAAATTATTTCCCTTGCTATCAAACTAAAAGTAACATCATTAATATACTTAACATTTTTTTTTTTATTAAAAATAAGTTTGTCAATACTTGTTCTGCAGCTGATGGAAATCTATCAAGAATAGCTTGGGCAGCCTTATTATTTCTTACGGTGAGGGCAGTAGCAAACGGACTTGATCCTTTTCTATCTCTCAAACTTAGATCAATATTTGGTACACACAAGAGCAAATTAATAATCGCCGCATGTTGATTTTCTATTGCTATGTGCAATGGGGTTTTACCGTCTACGTCGCGACTGTCTATGTTTGCTCCATGCTCAATTAATGCCTGCAACATAGTATAATATGAGCACTACTTATCCCGAAATAACAACGACCCTATTAAACAACACCTGAATAACTGTCTGCAATCCCCACTGACAACACATATGTAAGGGTGACGCTTTCTCCTTCGCTATTTCCGCTCCTGCTCCATTGGGTCCTGGGAGCTGAGGGGAATCTAAATCGCAACCTGATTGTATCAGGAAAATAGCAATCGATTCTCTATTTTCTTCGATAGCCCTGCGAAAAGTAAAAAGAAAAACTTTATGTGCTTAATTTTACAAGTTCTACATTTTACTTGTGCAAAAGGGTTTGTCGACACCCTTCGGGCCCTGGACCCCAACAATCTGTATCCGCCCCATGTCTGACCAAGATACTGGCTATATTTTCTTGATTGGAATCTAACGCCACCCACAATGGACAATTCCCTGTTCTATCGGGGGCTGACATATCCACGCCCTCTGAACATAACGCATCAACAACTTCTGGAAGTCGACAGTGTATTGCCAGTTGTAAAGGTGTTTCGCCGTCTGAAGTTCTATAAAAGTGTGTTTAATTGATAAGAATTAAATTTATTCAGTCGTAAAAGATGTTGATTTATTTGTGCACGTTACTAATTAAGACATACATTGCATTAACGTCTGCGCCGTGTTCTAGTAAGAAGAGCGCAGTGTCAGAATCTTCATTTAAGATCGCCTGATGAAGCAGGGTCAAATCTCTGGAATTTCTAATGTTAATGTCACCCTTTCCTTCCATTAATAAAGGTAGTAAATCCTTACGGTTTTCATTTAAGGATAGACTTAAAGGTGTATCGCCATTGATATCTTTTAAATTAAAATTTATCATCACTTCCTTATTACCTGCTATTAAAGTTTCGTTGGTTTTTATGAAGCATTTAATGCAGTCTGCCGAATTTCCAAGAACAGCATAGTGGAGTGGAGACCGCATTAAATCGTTTGTTAGCAAATTTGCGTTCATTCCGCAAGAGAGAAGTGAATTTACTAATAAGGGACAATTTTTCAAGCATGCCGTGTGAATAACGGACTCTCCGTTTTCATTAACATGATCGAGATTGTTATCATAATTCGATAAAAATATCTGTAAATGTAATTGTACAGTACACAACACACGTTCAGTAAGTAAATAGAAATTTAATTTACCGCAGCATCTTCAGCTCCTTCCATAATTAGTGTTTGTAACAAGCTATTACCATTTTTTAAATAAATTGGATTAGTTTTAGCTCCCTTTTTAATTAATCTCGAAGCATAACTTTCTGGACTTCGATCGCCCGATTGGTATTTTACAAGGGCGTAATACAAAGGGGTGTGTTCGTCATTTGATTTTAAATTTATATCAACAAGTGGTTGTTCTAGCAACAACGAAAAAACTGGATCGTTGTTGGACATAATAGCGACGTGAAGAGCCGTTCTAAAAATATATGTAGTTTCGTATGTTTGCAAAATATTAAATTAAATGTGGGTATTACATACAATCCCTGTTTGTTTTGGGCGTTAATGTTTACATCCTTTTCCAAAAGTTTGTTAACGATTGTACAAGAGTCTTTTATACTTCCTCCAGCTATTAAATGAAGAGGGGTGTCGTTGGAATTCCTAAAATAACAAAATAGGTATATAATAATCAATTCCCATTCGATCACAACTACTTGCAAATAGTTAATAGCAACATAAAACTTACATAGTGCAGAGCGATACGTCGCATTGTTTATTTTGAAGAATAAATAAAACAGATGATGGATCTTCCCGTTTTATGGTTCTATGCAGTAAAGTATCTCCTTCAGAGTCCAATAAATTAATATCGGCATTATATTGAAGTAAAGTGGATGCAATATTAAAATTGTGAGCTCTGAGGGCCAAATCTAAAGGCAGCTCACCGTTTGGGTCCCATGTATTTATGGAATTATTTAACTAAAAATGTAAAAATAAATTAAGTACATAGAATAAAAATTAAGGATGTAACTTTAGAAGTGTGTGATAAGAACAAAGAATTCATTTTTAACTACTTAATAAATAATATGATTTTTTTTTCTTTTTTAATAATTAATATTTTTTTTTTCTATTTCCCTCTGATTAACGATAATCCCTGTTGAGTCAGTTTTGCTTATGTCATGTGTTTTACGTGGCTAGTTTATTAAGTAGTGTTATTGCAAATAAAGCTACTTATTGCTAAGTAGGTAAGTGCGGTGCGGTGACCGCAGTTCGGTCAAATACTTTCAATTAAGTGCGCATTTTAAGAATTTAATAAGCCACAACACAATAGTCAGATAACAACCGTTTATTTACGACATTAGTCTAAGTAAGTAATAAGCTGTAAATACATTAATGTTTATTTCAAGTTTACTTCTTTTTACATAAGCAACTTTTTGGAATTGTTTGTTATATGTCTTTTAATAAGCAAAAAACTGTCTTCCTGTTAAAACACATGGCAACTGGGGAAAGAACAAAACTTCGTTCTTATTTATAAGTATTAAGGATGATGAAAATAATAAATAATAATGAAACGAGTACGACGTTGTTTTGTGCAAAGAAATGCGGTGAAATAAAAGATAACGATTAATTACTGCATATCAAATCGTGGCTTGTAACAAGTGATAAAAATTGAGATTTACTAACGAATTCTCAACTAATACATCGTGCTAGTGACTCATATTAACGTTGTGTATAATAAGAGAGCTCATTTTATGTTAAATAAAATGAACTCTTTAAATTTATTATCATCTACAGCTGTGATTACATTTGTGATATTTACAAGTAAGTACCGGTATAAACAAATACACATTTTAATTTAAATATTACTGTGCGAGTAAATTTCTTTTAATTCCTGTTTCAATAAAATCGAATGAAATCGATGTTTACCCCTTATAAATAATTATTATACGCGTGTATATAGTTTAGTTACATTAATTTAGCGAAAAATTGTTTTACGTATGACAATAAACTTTGTAGGTGGAAAGTTCAGCAATAAACGTAATATACACACATATTATAGATGTATTTGTTGTAAATATTTAACGTGTGTTGTTTAAAGCGAGATCAAACGACTACACTACCTTGAAACAGTTACCATTATTTTTTTACGTAACATAAATTTACATACCAGTAAATGTATGATACTTTAAAATAAATTAGATTCGATAGTAACAGGCATAAAAGAAACATTTACATTTAGAAATGTGCACAAAGAATTTAAAAAATTTCTAATAATAATCTACACCAGCAAAAAATATTTGCCACATCGATTTTAAAAGTTTGTTTGATCTTCTGCCTACTCATCATAAAACTTTCGCAATTTAATTTAAAGGAAAAAAACTCTTTCAAGCACTTTTTTGTATATATATATACCTATTTAACAGCGAAAATTACTATCACAATGTTTGAAGTGTTTATCTACCCTTTGCTTCCTGACCATTAATTATCGTATTCACACAAAAAACAAAGGCCAACGCTCTAATACACATATTTTAGACCTTACTA